TTAACATTCATGCATCATATTTAGATATTTGCAAAATAGGGGCATTTTCATTCATTTTATCCATTTTGAATATTTGTCAGGAATTTCAAAGATTTTAGCAAAGATTTGAATCCATCACTCAATGGATCAACATTTCCAGAGAAGTTCATAATGAGAAGAACTTATCTGAAGAATGAAGAAGAAGTTCATAATGAGAAGAACTTGTTCAACCTTTCGCTCAAATTCATCACTCAATGGATCAACATTTCTAGAGAAGTTCATAATGAGAAGAACTTATCTGAAGAAGGAAGAAGAAGTTCATAATGAGAAGAACTTGTTCAACCTTTCGCTCGAATTCATCACTCGATGGATCAGCATTGCCAGGAAGTTCATAATGAGAAGAACTTATCTAAAAAGGAAGAAGAAGTTCATAATGAGAAGAACTTGTTCAACATTTTGTATGACTCTCTCACAAAAGGAGATAGATCATCATCAACATTTCCAAAAGTGTTTATAATGAGAAGAACTCATCTGAAGAAAGAGAATAAGTTCATAATGAGAAGAACTTGTTCAACATTACCTTAATTCATCACATATGAAGCCAAATTAACAACCCCTCTTTTGAAGATTAGTATTTCCAGAAGGAGTTCATAATGAGAAAACTCATCTGAAAAAGAAGAAGAAGTTGATAATGAGAAGAATTTGTTCAACTTTTTGATAGATTACATCATAGAAGGAGATAAATTGTCATCCCCAGTGGAAAAGTTCATAATGAGAAGAACTAATCCCAAAGTGGAATTTGTTCAACATTGCCATCATAATCAAGTGAAGTCAAATGGATAAAAAAAATTTATATCTTTTCGTCTTTGCCTTATTCTTTTTAACATAAGAATGAGCAAAGAGGGGCAACTGAAGGTACTAATTTTTATCCATTTGTTCTTTATTTTTAATATTATTATTAATATTATTATTATCATTTTATACTATTTATTTATTTTATTATTATTATATTATTATTATTATTAATATTATTATTATTACAAACTGGCCCAAAAACGGAGGCTCATTTTATACCCAGTCTGGCCCAAACCCGCCAAAAACCCTAAACCCAACTAGGGTTTCCATCTAAGCTTCCAGCCGCCTCTCCTCTTCAGTCGTTGGTCTAACTTAGATCCAACGGTCCAGATGACCCCAGCAACAAACCCTAGGGTATCATAACCCTAGGGAAACGCGACCGCTACCTCTGTTATTGTCGATCTACGCCATTCCACACCACTCTACACATTTCCACGACGCCAACAAGAGTCTCCAGAGGAAATCAACACCAACCGTCCATGTTGTGACCTGAGGGTGAGTCACCACTATGGGTTCAGTGACTCATTGAGGGGTGTTCTTTTACCTGGTCCGAGGCAAGGTTCATGGTGGCTATAAAGCCACCGAACCTGCGAGACAGAGAATAACAGGGAGAAAAATACAAACACCAACAGCAAGCAACAAAACCAAAGGAAAGAAAAAAGAGAGAATAATAGGAGCTTACCTTACCGGAGAACCCCAAACGTCGCCGAAGAACTAAAAATACCGAAGGTATTTTCTTATATCTAGGAAATTACTGGGATTTTTAGGGGAAATGGATGCCAGATTCGACCTTAGAATAACCGGATCTATATCCTAGGAAAATATGGAAATTTTTTACCATCGTTGACAGTGGCCGGCAGTGGTGATCGGCGCCGGAGCACGGTTGCCGGGTTAATATCAAACTCCCTCCAGTGGAGAGTTTAGAGAGAAGACAGAGAGAAAAAAATTCTCTCACCTAGAGAGAGAAGAAGAAATGAAAAAATGAAAGAAATGGCCTTAAGGCCGACCATTTTAGAGTATTTATACCCCTTCCCAAACGACGCCGTTTTGGGAGGGTGTATCTGTAATTTGGGAAAATGGGTAAATCATACTCGCAACCATCAGAATTCTATAAATTTTCATTTTAGTCACTGAAATCGAATTATGAACTTTTTAATTTGGTCTCGTTATTTTATTTTATTTTAGTTTAGTCCTTATCTGTATATATATATATTTAGGATAAATAGTGCATTTAGTCCCTTAGAATTTTATTAATTTTTATTTTAGCCTCGAATAAATAACTAAGGCTAAATTACACTATTAATTATTATATTTCATAATATTACGATATAGACCATTTAATTTTAATAAATTATAATTTAATCCCTAATTTTAATTTATTTATTTTATTATTTTTATATTTTACTACCCTAGTTTCAACTTTATTTATTTTAGTCATCGTTTATTTATATTTTAATTTTATATGTTTATATATTTACTTATTATTGTTATTATTAATATATAGTCATATAAACATATATAATAAATAATATTTATTTACTTATTTTTTTATAAAAAACCAATTTATAAATTTAATTTTATATAAATTACTTTAAAAAAAATAATCATATTTTATTATTTATTTATTTTTTAATATTAAGAAATTGGCTGTCTTAAAGCACCTATAAGTCATTTTCTGATATTCTTAAATAAATATCCTATTTTTATAAATTATATATATTAATTTATTTTAATTATTTTTAGAGAAATATTTTATTAATATTTATTTATTTTTTAATTTTAAGAAATGAGCTGTCTTAAAGTACCTATAAGTCATTTTCTGATATTTCTAAGAAAATAAATATCTTATTTATAAAAGTAAATAAATATATATATATATAGATAGGTAGATAGATATTAATATATTTTCTTAAAATTATATTAATTTGAAATAACAAGATTATGAATTAAATATATGTTTGAATTTTTAAATTTTCAATAATAGAGACAATTTATAATTAATGGGTATCAATTTTGGGCGTTATAGGGGTGTTAATCCTTCCCTAAACGTAATCGACCACAAATCCCTTCTTTACTAAAATTTTTGGTTATACGCAGATCAGTTCATCTTTTAAATTATGTTTTCTTAAAAACTATTTTAAAAGGTTATTTGTAGGTATTTAACCTACCTAACCCAAAGGGTCAATGACGACTCTCAAAATATTTTATTTTAAATCAAAATCATTTATTTATTCATTTTAATTTTTCCGCCAAGTAAAATTTCGTGCCCGGGTAAAAACCGGTTACGACACAAACTATAATTTTCAAGCAATCAAACACTTCATCATAAACATACGAGCAGCCTAAATAACTGTCAGTTCAACTGGAAGCATATTATAAACAAAGACATAATGAACGAAATACCATTTGTTAAGACAAACATCTTAAACGTCAACAAAAACAACAACCTCAAAAGAACACCCTAATGTGAAAATCCAAGCTTTACCCATTTGAAAATTTTCTAAGAAGTTCAGAGGAACAATCAATGGAGAACCGATTTGCACCTAAAATGGACAAAAATAGTGGGTTCGCCATACCAGCTGAGTCATCATCTTCTTTAAGTTGGAGCAATGATGATAATGGTGATGGTGTCGGCGAAACTCCGAGAATCTACATGTCGATCACCATGGGCGAAAAGACAAAGAACTCGAATATTCATCTCTAGCACCACTCCAATTCTCAAACTTCTTCAAGAACATGATGTAATTCCCGTGGTTCCAGCAATCTTGAAATGGATCTTGGCCGACCAATCTGTTTCAACTTCAAGATCGCGTTCTTGTGCTCGAATCATCATTTGCTAGAACCACGGTAATGAACGACACGTCATAGCTCTTTGACTCTTTGCCCATGGAGACTAACACGTAGATTCTTGGAGATCCGCCGACGCCATCATTATTAGATAATCTTCAGATTGTTGCATCAACGTAACTTGGTGAGAAACGAAACAACTTTAGACCTGAAATTCATGGCCGAATCATAAAACTCCGTATCTTAATGATGTAATATTTTCTTCTTTTTTTGGTTAGTTCGGCCATGGAATTTCTGGTTGAACTATAAAATGACAAAGTTGTTTGTTAATTATTTCATTCGGATATATTCAAATACAAATAGAAGGAGAACGGCACCGGCAGCCACATGGAGGGGAAGGAAAGCGAAATAACAACTCCTTGGAAGGCATGGAGATGTGGTGAGTTCTTTCATAGCAAGGAAGTACGACAAAGCAGGGAAGCGTTTTGGTTTCGTTAGATTCTCCGACAGAAACGATGCAGATAGAGCATCTCTAAGATTAAATGTTTATGGATTTTCGGGTACCATATATCAGTCAAAGAAGCTCGGTATAGAGCTAAGAGCCAAAGTAAGAAATTGTATAAACCATCAACCTACAAAGTTGTAACATGGTAGAACAAGAAAAGAATAGTCTTTCTGGAGCAAGCTCGGAGGAGCAAGTAAAAAGGAGCAGTAAAATTATTCAGGGGCAAGTAGATGAGGACTTGTACGAAAGCTTCAAAAATGCCTGGTAGGTAGGATGGCGACGGTTTGTTCTTCGAGTCAAGTGGAAGATAGGTTACGTGCTGGAGGTCTAGGAGAAATAAGAACTAAATTTGTGGGAGGGTTGACTTCTTAATAGAGATAGATGATGACGAGTTACTCAGGATTTTGAAGGAGCATGTTGTTCGTATCTTAAGGAAGTTTTCTTGGATGTACAACCATGGTCAGAATCGTATAGACCGTCTCAAAGAGTAACATGGATCAAACTATTTGGTGTGCTGCTGCATTGTTAGAACCATTCCACGTTTAAGAGGATAGCAAAACAATAGGGTGAATTCTTAGCGATGGGAGAAAATGCTTTTCAAGCAATGGGCTACGAGGAGGTGACAATTCTTATTGCAACAAACAAAAAAGAGTAAATTGATGAAGAGCTTGATTTGGAAGTTGGTCGATGCATATTTAAAGTTAGATTTTTGGAACAATTCATAGGCAGTAGCATAACAATTGTTCGAAAGCGAAAAGAAAAAAAGTGTGTGGTGGCTGTTGATTCAGAGTCATCGGCTGGAAGAAGCAGGGTCTCATCGGAGGAAAAAATCATTAAAAGGTGGCTTGAGGAAGGCGAAATTCAATTATGATGCATGGGAAATATATCTGGAGGTGGCTACTTATCAGGTGAGGACATGGTGGAAAGAAATATTGGTGAGGTAGCAATTATGGGACTGAGTACTAATGATGATGAAAGTGGGAATGTTCAAAAGATAAGCAATGATGCATTGGAACACGAGGAGAGAGTCGAATTAGCTGTCATGAAGAAGTTAAATGATCAAGTACGTGTCAACGTGGATAAAGAAGAAAATTTTAAAGATTTGTCTATTTAGGAAGGAATATCAGATACTAGGGCAGTGGAGGATGTGATGTGTATTGGCCTAAAAACTACAGGTGTTAACAAGAATAATAAGGCTGAGGAAGGCCAAGTTGATGGGTTAATACCAGATTAAATAAAAGGGAAGCCCAAATTAGGGAAAGACTAAGAGGACCTGGAACAGAGGCTAAATGATTTGAGCGAGGATTTTCAAACGAACAAATCCAGACAGATTCAAAGAAAAAAGCTCAGGAAAAACAAAATACAGATCCTTACAATGCATTCAAGAAAAATTTGCACACATTCCAATGAAGAGCTGAAATTGCCGGTTAAAGAAAAATAAGAAGGTAGAGTGCGAGGATGATTGGACTAAACTAGAAAGAAGGTTTATATCTGATTCTGATCTTCAAGTAAGATGCCAGAGACAAAAGAGGGAAGCAAAGAAAACGTTACATATTGCAAGAGATTTAGGAATATATTTTAAAGGTCCAGAAGAGATATTGTTTTGGGAAATCTTCGCTACTGAGGCATCGGAAGGTGTATCCCAATCTCTCAATCTATTACCTTTTAGTTGAAGTCAGAGGGGGAAATTTCGAGATGAAGATTTTATCATGGAATATAAGAGGTATGGGTTATGTTGTTAAAATTTCTGAACTTAGGAGGATAATTCGTGCTCATAAGATTGAATTTGTGTTGATTCAAGAAACAAAGAAAGAGGAGTTTAATGAAATTAAAATAGGGAGCATTTGGAGTGATGATGATTTCGATTTTAAGTTTTCAAAAATAGTGAGAAAATCTGGGGGTTTACTGTTGGTATGGGATAAAAGTAGATTTAAGGTTGAAGGCAACATAATTAAAGATAGATTCATACTTATAAGGGGAAGTGTGCCTCTGATGAGTCGACTTGTTCAATAGCTAATGTTTATGCTCCTTGTGAAGTTAGCAACCAAAACATTTTATGGAATGAGATAATGTTAGAAAAGAGAAGAGACGATAACATATGGTTCACGGCTGGAGATTTTAATGCTATTCGAAATCGAAGTGAGAGAAGTGGATGTTCTTTTAGAGAATCTAAGTTCAAAGCGTTTAATCAGTTCATAGAAAATTGTAACCTATTTGATATGCCATTAGCAGAGAGAAAATTCACTTGGTTTGGGCTGAGAAATATGAGAAGTCGGTTAAATAGAGTCGTTGTGAAGGATGACTGGTTCCAGAAAAATACTGAAGCAATGTTGTGGGGATTACCGAGAACTGTCTCGTACCATATTCCTATTTTAATGGGTAAAGAGATGATAGATTGGGGGCCAAGACCTTGCAAGCTAATTAATAGTTGGCTAGATCATAAGAGTTGTGTTGAGGTCATCAAGGACACATTAGAGTTCGACCTTTTACATGATGAATATTTGAGTGCAAAGCTAAGAAGAGTGAAATGTGCACTGCAAAAATGGAATAAAGAATGTTACTGGAATGTCGATAATGAAGTTAAAAAGATTGAAAAGAGGATAAATGAGTTAGATAGGAAAGGAGAGTTAGATGGATTATATGATCGAGAAAGGGAGGATGTAGCAGATTACACGAGAAGGCTATGGGATTTGTGAGAGCAAAGGAAGATATATGGCGACAAAAATCTAGATTGAATTGGCTAAAACTTGGGGATGAAAATTATGCATTCTTTCACAGAGCTGTCAAGTTCAGAAGTAAAAATAGATTTATTTTAGGTGAAAATCTGGGGGAGGTAAATGAAACCGATCCTTCAAAACTGAGGGAAAAAGTTTTAATTTTTTAGCAATAATTTTAGAAGCAAAAAGAAAGAATATAATATGGTGATAAACCTCCCTTTCAAGCATGTGACAGTGACAATGTTGAAGAGTTGGAAGCATCGTTCTCAATTGAATAAATAAAAGAAGGTGTGTGGAGCTGCGATGAGTCCAAAGCGTCGGGACCAGATGGCTTTAATATTTTTTTTTAATATTGGAAATGCGTAAAGACGATCTTATTAAGACAATGGATCTTTTTTACAGGTTTGGTAAATTGGGGAAGAATGTTAATTCATTTTTTTAGCGTTGATTATGAAAGTGGATAATCCTTATGATATTTCAGAGTATAGACCGATTTCGTTGGTAAGCAGTTTGTAAAAAATAATAGCGAAAGTGTTGGCTAGAAGACTAAAATGACTGATAGAAAAAGTAATAAGTGAGACACAATGTGCTTTTTTAGCTAGAAGGCAGATTTTTATGGTATTTTGGTGGCAAATGAGGTAATCCACTCTTTGTACAAATAGAGGGATAGGAGAGGAGGATTGATTTTAAAGCTGGATTTTGCAGAGGCCTATAACTGTGTATGTTGGGAGTTCTTAGATTTAGTCCAGCAATAAATGGGGTTTGGAAAGAAATGGTGAGGGTGGTTATGAGAATGTATTTCGACAGTAAGAGTCTGAGTTTTAGTAAATGGATCTCCTTTGAAGAGTTTAAAATGCATAGGGATTAAGGCAGGGACATCCATTATCCCTCTTTCCATTCATGATGGTCACAGAGGTTCTTCATCTATGGCTGAAGGTGCAGTGAGTAAAGGATATATTGAAGGCATCCACAATGTGGCTCCAAATGTAATTATTTTGCATCTACAAATTACGGATGGCACAATCTTATTTCTCCGGCCCGAACAAGGATGTCTCAGAAATGTAAAGAGAATCTTAAGATGTTTCGAGATGGGGTAAGGGCTAACTATAAATTTTAAAAAATCATGTCTAGCAGGGGTGGGGTCGAAGAGGATAAAGTCAATCAGTTAGCAGTTTTGTGTGGATATGCTGTGAGCGAGCTACCTTTTAAATATTTGGGTATACGATTAGGAGTAGATACGAGAAGAGTTTCGACGTAGGATTTGGTAATTGAAAATGTAGAGTTAAATTGTCGAGATGAAAGGTAGATTACTATCTTTTGCTGGGAGAGTGGTCCTCATTAATTCTGTTTGTCTATGTTCCCACTTTATTATATGTCGATATTTCCTATCCCAAAAGCAGTGTTATTAAGGATAGATAAGATATAAGAGGTTTTCTTTGGGGCTCAAATGGAATGAACAAGAAGATGTCAAGAGTAAATTGGGGAAGGATGTGTGAAATGAAAAAGAAAGGAGGAGCTGAAATTATTGATGAGGGCAAAAAACAAGGCCTTATTAGCAAAATGGGGGTGGAGGTTCGCAAATGAAAGAGAGGTTTGTGGAGGGCAGTTTTAAGTCATAAATATGGAACAGATGGGCTGCTTGGCTGGTAAGTAAAGAGAAAATAAAGGATGCCTCCATTACATGGAGAGGGATTATTAACAATTTAAAGAGTGAAGAAACAACAAAATGGATGAGTGGTGTTTGTTTTAGATTGCTAGTGGGAGATGGGAAAACTTCATGGTTCTGGGAGGATGTTTGGTCAGGTGAGAAAGCATTGATGTCTAGGTTTCCTTGAATATATATGCCAGTGTCAATAAAATACATAACATTTTTTAGGTGCTAAGTGATGGGGAGTGGCAAAGGCAAGAATTGTCAATTTTGTTCGATAGACAACTATTGGAATGTAGATATAGCTAAAATCAAACCGGGTGTGGTTGACCGTATTATTTGGGTTCATGAGAAGGATAGAATGTTTTTGGTTAAAAAATTGACAGAATTGCTTCTTTGTAATGATAGTATTGAAGAACCGATCAGGCAATTTTGATAAAATCTGTAGTCTTAAGGTTCCCCCAAAGGTGAAATGTTTCTTATGGATGCTAAAACTGAATAGAGTGATAACTAAAGTGTTCCTTAAAAGCATAGGAATTATGCTAACTGACAATCAATGTTTATGCCCATGCTGTGGTGTTGCAGAAGAAAATACTGATCACTTGTTTGTCTCTGTATTTACATGGTGTATTTCTGGAATTCTTTTTCTAGGTGTGGCAAATTATAGGATGCAATGTTTTAACTATAGATGAACTGTTTAACTTTTGTTATCAGACCCGATGGTCAGAATATAGATTATTAGCTGGGCGTGTTAGCTTTACGGTGGCGTTGTGGAGCCTTTGGTTGGCCGGAAACAATTTTTTTAGGGAGAAAAGAGAAAAACTTAAAGATATTGTCTCCCAAGTTAAAATGAGAGCTTTAGTTTGGTGCAAGGCACACAAGGAGTTTAATGACCTTGATGAAAAACGTTAGTGGGTTAGTCCTAGGTTTAGTGCTGGAACATGTGAAGACGAGGAAAGGTTGAAGATAGTATGGAAACGTCCAGGATTGGGTCAATGATGTTTAACTTAGACAGGTGGGGGAAAGTTAAGAAATTAAGTGGGGCATGTGGTGGCAATTTTTTTCGGGCATGTTCCAGATGTTAACTCAAAATTTACAAAGTTGTTAGCAATTAAATATGCCTTAGAGATATTCAATGAGTCTATTTATAAGGGGTGGCTAAGCTGATTGTAGAATCTGATTCTACAGTAGTTTTAAATTGGGTTCAATCTTATTCTGGTCGACCATGGAGGTGGGACAATTTTGAAGAAATCGATGGGAGGGTTTTTGAAGATAAGGGATGTCAAGTTTAAGTTCACGCCAAGATTAAGCAACAACATGGTCGATTATCTTGCTATGATCAGATCGAGGAGAAAGGTCATGTTTAAAGCAAGTTGGTAAGACATATTAGGAATTTTATATAAGATTATGTTGCTTAGTGAACATAGATTGGTTGTCTTGAGTTAAATGTCTAGCAGGATATGGCTATTCTCAATATATCTAGTTATAATGTGGTTATTCGAGGAGCTCATATACAGCTTTTGATAGTACTATTTGTGGAAACGTGTTGTTAGAAGACCTCCTAGTCTTTTTATGTTTCTGCTATTTGGATGTCTTGTTCCCTAACTGCAGAGTATTCTTTTTCCCCACTTAGGTTTAGGGGGTTTTTAATGAGGCTCCCAGGTGGGGATGTGTTTTTTTATCTCTAAGAATAATAAAGATACTATTTTTGTTGAGCAAAAAAATATTTTCTTCTTTTTCTTTTTTGCAAAGGCAATTCAGAACTAAAAACGAAAGTGTTAGTTTCTTGAAGATACGACCTTCATCCTCTCAGCACTAAACCATCTTTCAAAGGTTTCTCAATCTTGAAAACAAAAATAAATGGTTTTTAATATAAATAACATATTTCGCCAAGATCATCCTTTTTATTCATTCATTTATTTATTTATTGAAACACAAAATCGACTTTTTGTTTTACTTTGAGTCTTCTATTATGTTCATAAAACACATTAGAAGGTAAATAAGCTTACCAAACTTATATTGATATTCACTTTGACATTAAATTCTCTTTCTGAACCAAAAACACATAAATTAAATTCCCCTATAAAAATGTTAAACCATCAAATTGGAATGACATAGAATCACCCAACACATAAACTACACTCACCTATACTGTGGGTCGTCAAACTAACCTTGAAGGCTTTATTCCCCTATAAAAATAGGACTATCTTCAATTGGTCCATGTTCATGCATAGAATTAATCATGTAATTAATCAATCAGACATACAAAACATATAAAATCACATTATACAGGAGTGCCTTGGGGCCTTAGAGTCTACAAAAGGAATACCTTAGGTCCGTAAGGAATTACAGCTTGATCAATGCTGAACCTCTATACTCCAGAATCCTACCCAGACAGCATCCCAATAATCGGTTCATACAGTAAACAGTAGATTCCATGATCCATAAATCAAGAATGATTATATTTTCCAGTGAAAACAGAAACCAGAGAGTACATATCAAGTAGTCATTTCATAAACGGTAAATAAAGACATTAGTAAATAAAAATATATAATAGTTAAAAGATTCAATAAACCACTAACTTCTATAAATCACATTTCAAGACATATAAAATAAGCATATAGCACATAGGGAACACATTAGAGGATCTAGTTATTGTACTTGGTATTTATCAGGTAGGAAGCCACTAAATTTCTATAAACTGATTGAATTTTAGAATGAAATCCCTATAAAAAGAGGATTTGATAGCTAACACATTCATCAGTCATTTACGAAGTGATTTATGAAGATCATAGTATTCAGATATATCAGCAGGGTATTCAGAAATTATTGCATCAAAATTTATTTAGGATTCAGACATTCCTAAAGTGATTCCATCAATCATGCTTATAAGGGTATTTTAGTCATTTGATTCGTGAGAAATTTGATAAATTAGTTTAATAAGGGTATACAACAATTTTATAGAATTCCATAATTCAAGTATCTTAATAGGTTTTCGATTCCAATCGCACTATACAAATCCAAGCAAAGCGATACTAATCAAGTATGTATATAGAGAAAAATTCACGACTATTCATTTCTTAAAACTGACTGCACTGTAGAATCGAACTGATCACCTTCAGAACCATCTTTGGATGGATCATGATAATACGAACAAGTATTTAAGTGGTATTTAAATACTTCTCGTATTATAACAGTATTAGGGATGATGGACCTACTTAGGTCGTACTCTATAAACCTCAAGGGCATTTGAACATTTAAAACTTCATTGGTATCTTCAGAAATTATTAAAAGCATTCACTTAATCCAAGTCATGAGCGTATTTAGGTCA